GCCTCGCTATGCACGGTGGCACGTGACCTCTGTGCCACCGTCTTCCCTGAGGTCACTGGGTGTACGCCTAAAATTCCTGCTGGACCCAATCACGCTCGATATATATCCAAATATGTACCTACTTCTTTAACCGATTATGATGTGATGGCTTTGCTTTCAGTCATAAGCTTTAGAAATCTTAAAGTCTTACTATTTTGACAGCTAATGTTCGAGCAACCTCATAACATAATAATAAGATATGCCTATTACCCTACTACCCGTCTCAGCTTCCTATTACCATATTTTATAATAATTCTACCTATCCAACCAATGAAATATATTTAGATTATTATATCATTGAAGTCAAGAAGCCGGTCTTACGGTTTCTATGTCACCGTTCTCACACGCTGCAGGCTTTCACAATCCAGATGTTTTTGTACAATCTATTATGTCATTAGTGTTTTAGGCTTTTAGGTAATGACTTACAAAATAGTCAATTAGCACGAGATTAAGATGATCTCACCACATCTTGGGTGTCGTCGCTGTCCAATTGTTATGAAATCTGCTAAATATTTATTATTATCCATTCAACACCCGAGGCGAATCTTTTATGCCTTTTATCTTTTGTGCCTCTTAGTCAGAATTTAACACTTTCGATGAATGAATCTGAAGCGAAATTCCTTGGATATATTTTTGTGTCAGGGGTGCAAATTGATTGCGGCGTGTGGTCGAATACGCAGGCGTTAATGAAAGGTGAAATTCCGTGTGTGCGGGTGCGCGGTGTAGAGCTCGCTAAGTTACGCTGCGCCCGCGCCGCGCGCCACGCCATTATCGACGATCTGCGCGGGAGTGTCGCAGATGCTCATTGTTCATCACACCATCACACATTTCATCGGCAGTGCTAATTGGCACCACGGACCTCAATCGAATTTTTTAGATAGCTTCGATATTTTTTCTGTTTTGCTGAAGCAAGTAAACAAGGTTTTACGGGAAAATAAATTAGATTGCTTTATGAGGGCGGTGCACAACATATTGTGCTATCTATCCTGGAGCCCTTCTCTGCAATTGGATTGGTAACAAAGTAGCAATAACGAGTTACCTCATAATTTCCCAACACTTCCATCTGCACGCTTGTTATACAGAAGTTATACTTAGTAACCAGTCTAACATTCCATTAACATTGTTAAGTACCCATACCTAGTTAGAACCTTCTATCAAAAAAGACTGAGCCAGACCATCTAAAATTATCTTCAAATACAAACGTACCTTTTGATCTAACAGTACTTATTATCTGGTACTGCAAACACATCAGACAACTGTAGAAACAAACGCCAGACTTCAGAGATCAGACAAGCAATTGCAGCATGAGGTGGAACAATGAATTTGAGCTATCTCCGTTAATGAGTGCGCGTCGAACATAGCACGGCGTCCTCTATCTAACTCGGTGGGTGGAACTCGACGCGACTTAAGATTTATTTGCCGCGATTTTCCATTAGCCAGCCAGCTGCGGCCAATTTAATTAGCCGATCACACGGAAGGATGCAATGGCAACAGAACAAACTGAATTTTTGATAAGGTCTTGTTCAGGCTGGGGGTTTGTGGACATCGAGAAGGTAATTGAGAATGTTTTAACACTTCAGAAACAATATTAAGTCAAATTATATTCAGTCAAAAATCTTTACATGTATGTATCTGCAGGTAATACAACTAAAGGGTAGATTACATTTTATAGAGTGGACCTAGGCACCTAAAAATCTTGGAAATCTCTGTAAAGAGCATCTGTTCTATGCAAGACATTTTTGAAAAAATCTATTTACTTAATATCTAAAAAAGGTCAGCATGTTCCAACCAGTCCACAATTTGGCACGTTTTATAAAGAAATTGCTACATGTATGCTCAATGTAACCTTCACAAATAAGAATCATTTCTTGTAGGTTCCTTTACAAGAAGGTCGAATCTGATCAGTCCACTGGGAACACATCCTAATCAAAGAAACAACACACGGCATTACCTGTGTTATCAGCGAACAAATGGTGCTTCTAAATTAATTGTCGGTCGTCGGCGCGGGCGCTCCCGCCGAAAGCGATAGCGAAGCTGTATCGATCATCGCTCGTGCCGGCCGCGCACCTGCGCGCGCGCAGCTCAGCGCTGCAAATACAATGTTCACGATTCTTATAAATTAAAGTGTAGAGTGTTAGATTTGTTACGTGAGGCTCCATGCAATAGTATTAGATACTGCAATTGATATTTCTGGCCCTTGTCTCAATGGGGATTTTATTTTCTAGTTGTGGAGAACGTCGCGTCGTGCTGAATCGATTAGATTGTCTCTGAGTCAGGTACAGGAGTAATTCCAGCATGGAATGCTAATTTGAATATTTCAAGTATGTTCAAATAGATGTTGAAAGTGGTAAGTATATAAAAAAAGGTCATGAAGATAAACTATCAATTAAGATAGCTGCATCAAAAAGCTCTGATATACCAAAATCAGTTACTTTACACTAACAATGAAGAATTTTAATTTAAATTAAAAATAAATAGACAACTTAAGACACACTAGATTTAACAAAAAGATAAAAATTAAATACCTAGAGAGAGAACTAAAAGTAAATATTTACGCAGAGCATTGATAGTAGGTACCAGAAGGCTGGCAGCATTGCCCCACGTTGTATGGCAATGCTTAACCTTTGACCGAGAAATAGACCAGCCCTCTCGTTACGAGATGTGTGGACCAGGCGTTTCAAAATGTTTTTAAATAAAGTATGGGCACTCGAATTCCACGGACCTTTTTTTGAGGGGGGAAAATCATCTAATGACTTCTCTCTTACTGACTAAAAACCACCCCGTTCCTACTCCTGCGATTCCACGGACCTAGCGTCTCAAGCCCAAACGGCGTAAAGATATAATTAGCACCGCTTGAGGTTTTCTGCATAGGCAGCAGCCGAACCAGCACAACCCACTGGAAGATGAGAAGGTGCAAGTGTCGACGCAGGTTGCGTCCCACACCAAAGACCTTCCCAGCTTCCAGGGCATAATGGACATACCGTCAAGTCTCTTACCTTCGTCGCGCGCCAAGCCCTTTGTTGTCGCGGAGAACCTAACGGGTTACCGGGGCTACGGCTCGACGTGCAGGAGAAGGAACGGGGTGGTTTTTAGTCAGTAAGAGTCTGCCACTCCCTCCCGCCTCACCCAGGCGGGAGCAGTCATACGATGATTTTCCCCCCTTAAAAAAAAGCCCCTTGTTACTTTATTTTCAGTTAAATTATAATTCCCAGTTTTAGCTAAAAACTAATAATAAATTACCAAACATCAAAGATAATACTTGTGTCACCAGCCTTGCAACCTTGCAAGTAGCACCTTTAATTACTGGTAACCGATTTTCGCAAACAATGACATTCCGGTAAGTGATACCGTCTCGATTCCGATGTATCGTGCAATATGTATCGAAAATTCGAAACATGAGACCTGTCACTGTACCTGTACCACAGAATAATGTACCTACACTTGGTTACAACTCAAGCAATACAATACCAATTTATCTTGGTCCCGCTTTGTATCATATTTCTTTACATTCAACGGTCAGTTAATACTGGAGTCTAATAGATCGACGTGTAGCCGTGTCTACCTGGACGTGTTAAGGTGTGAAGTGTCATAATGCCGCGATCATCGACAGCTCAAGTATTTAGTCGTAAGTCGCCATTATTGTTTGGCTGAGGTATTAATGGGATACCTATTTAATTGGTTTCGCGTAATTAATTGGTTTCGCGTGTCGCAGTGATAGCTGCGTTTATTGGTAATTGTTGATGATGTTTTAACAATAAAACTTTAATTTTAATTACCTTAACTCATTAACACAAGCTAACTCCCACTTACTCAGTAATTAGATTATTAAAAATTTTGAGGATGTTGCTGTCCAGGCTAAGGTGGGTCGTACGGCGCGTCGCATTCCGCGCGCGCGTCGAAATACCACCACCACGACAGTTGGGGCCCAGTAGGGCTGATGCCCGATATGGAACCGCAGAAGACACCCATATATCCCCAAGCGCTCACCGGTGACCGCTCTCCACTGGCTACATTATAGACCTTATTTCCAAAGCTTAGAGACTACTTTTGTATGAACAAATTTAGGGGATGATTTTCAACAATTTTCATCGGGTTAACGGGATACAGGGGCTCCGGCTTGAAGGCCAGGAGTAGAAACGGGGTGGTTTTTAGCCAATAAGAGTCTAACACTCCTTCTAGCCTCACCCAAGACGGAAGAAGACTTTGGATGATTTTTCCACCTCAAAAAGAAAAATCCTAACGGTGTGCGGTCGCAGCTTTAAGCTATACATACATAGGTAGGTGGCCGTATCCACTTGTTCAGACCTAAGTTTATTGCAGCAACGCCATCTATACATACCTAGACAATATAATATCATTGACATTATGGCTTAGTAACCATTATTCCATCATCTTCCAACACATTTTCTCTTCTCTTTAATAATGTGAGAATTTATTACAAATTACCTATTATTTTTTAGATTTCAGTTAGTGACAAATTTCCATAAGAAGAACTCTGTGAGAAATAATTAATCATTCGTTACATTGCTAATAAAAATTATATTAAGTGCCAATAATATAATTTGTAGATTTTTAAACTCAAAATAAAACTTATTGATTACATTGCTTGAGACTATCAAGTGTAATGTGTAGTAGAATTTTCTGTCTATCCCTTGTATTAGGTGAAGTCGTTATGTTTAATAACAATACGTTTTAAAGAATATGGTACTTTACAATTGACTACCAATGATTGGTGCAATACTAACGATATACGATATATTATCCAATCCCGTAAAAGGTTAATGGCCTATTGATTCGTGATCAAAACGACATTATAGAACATACTGCCAGACCGCGTTCCAGTTCTTAATCTGTCATAGCTTTGTCTTATTCTAACCCACGTGTTATATAACTGTTGTTCTCGTTCTAATGCAACATTATCTAGGATTGTAATTTTTTTCTTGGAACTCAATAATCTCCAACTGTCAAATGGCTTGGTAAACGTAATGGATGTTCAAATTATTTTATTTGGTTAAAATACAGATTATTGTCCGTTTAAACAGTTGTTATAACTTAAATAAGGTGTAGGAATATTCAATAAATACTGGCAGACATGGATGACATAGAAAATATAACCTGCAGTAAGTGAAAAGCGGCTTTATTCTGTCGCGTCTTTCGTTACAATATTTTGTTGATGCTAACCCAAAATACATTATTTACAGAAGAGGAATTAGAAGCTAGTGATGTTGAAAATTCAGCCACAGATGACCACAAAGAAATTGAAGAGAAACCCCACTTGAAAAGAAAAAGACGACGCCGTGAAATTGACATGGTAAGGATCGATATCGGCATACAGAGAAACCATTTTGTTATTGTTGCACGAATTTGCCATATAACTGAACATTAGAGACGTGTTTACGTGTTAAAACTATTCTCCAATTAAAAATTCACAATTTAAGTGTCATAACAAAATTTAAGGTCCTAAGTTTTAATTCCTTCTAATATTCTGTAGAAACACCTGTTAGTGGTATAGTCCTAAATAATTATTTTATCCCAATTTGACAATAATCTTATTTGAATTAGATGAAACTGAAATACCAGAATGCACGATGCACAATATTCCAGATGTATCCTTCTGTGACATCATTCACAAACACTCACTTTTCAACACTCCAATTACTACACACCAGTAAACAACAAAGTAAAGTCTCTCATCGTCAATTCCATATATTTGAATATGTCTGAACGGCTTGTTCCAGATTAAATTGTCAGATGACGATGATTCGGATGATGAGGGCCTGGCCAAGAAGCTCATTCGTCGGCTCAGTCCGGGCCCCGGGCCCATCTCTCCTGCTTCTCACAGGGAACCTCGCACTTGTGTGCTTAAGGTAACTGGTGAAATGTGTCTCTGTAGATTCTTAAGTTTCATTTTCTTTTGTTGTGACACTTTAAGTTTCCATTTTCTACTGTTTCATTTCCATAATTTAAAATCTTAGCTATCTTATATTATTTAACAACTTGAAAGCAAACCTTTATTATGCAAATATAACCAACCAACCACTTACACTTCACATAATATTCTCTAATTTCCGTCTTCGCAGGCTAGTCAGAAGCGGCGACCATTATCACGCCTTCTGGAACAGCTACTCCGCAACCTAGAGAAGAGGGATCCCAACCAGTTTTTCGCATGGCCGGTGAATGACAACTTTGCACCGGGGTACTCAGACATCATTAGAAGACCAATGGACTTTTCCACTATAAAGCAGAAGATTGATGATAATGACTACAAGTCTCTCAACTGTTTTATTGTAAGTTGCATTTGAATTTAAAGAATAAATCTTGGGGGTTGGCATTTCAAACTTATAATTAGAAATTATAGGGGCTCTGGCTTGAAGAGCAGGAGCAGGAACGGGGCGGTTTTTAGTCATCAAGAGTCTGACACTCCCTCTTGCCAACCCAAGGCGGGAGAAGCAATTGGATGATTTTGTCCCCTCAAAAAAAAGTTTCCTCACGATGTTTTCCTTCACCATTTGTCACTCGGAAAAAGTCACATTGGTGCTTGCTGTTGGTAGGTTTCGAATCCGCTCACACTCTCATGCATGAGAAGCGGGCATCATAAACCTCCGAGCCACCACAATATTATATTATTTCCTGACTGAAATAATCCTTCTTCCACAGAGTGACTTCAAACTAATGTGCAACAATGCAATGAAGTACAACAAGCCCGGCACAGTGTACCACAAGGCAGCCCGCAGACTGTTACACGCAGGACTCAAACAACTCACTCCGCAGAAACTCAGGCCACTCGGGAACATGCTCACCTACATGTATGAGATACCTATCAAGGAGCTCGGCTTCGACATCGGCAAGATGGATGTGGTGAGTACTACTACTATTGTCTTTATTATGTGCCTCGCAAAGTGAAGATGTATAGTTATATAAGCCAGTACTGGTTTTGCGTTAGTGGTTAGTAACAATCAGTATATTGCTGACTTGCTGTGGATTTAAAGCATTATAAACATTATTGAAATCCTAGTGTAAATTATATTTACATGATATTTGCTATCTGCAAGTCAAGTTCATGACAATGGGTATTGTATTCATCCATGGCTTTTGTCATTTAACATATGCCACAATAATGCGTTTTCATTTTGCGAGGTATAAATGTAAATGTTGTATAACGCTAAAAGTCAAGTCCCAGACGCGCACATAACTTCCCAATTTAAATATTTAAAACAAATAAAAGAAACATTTACCTGTGGAAACAAGCTTAGTGAGTATTTTAAGTAAAGAAAATATTTTGTTCTTTTTATTTATATTGAAGTTAACTAAACATGTTGATGAAATGACTTTTTGCATCGCAGCCTCTTAGGACGTACGGCAGAAAGGTGATACTTTAACTAATTAATAGATAATAGGAGCGTAGTCGTGTATTAGAGGTCTAGCGAGATTTTGTTTGCTTCTGTCGGTTGACGTCTGTGTTGTGGTGTGGGTAGGAGTGACTACCGCCGGCGTCAGAGCAATGCATGCACTGCTGCGGACTACTAGCGCGCCGTGGACGTGCCACTCACTTCTGACATATCCTAGTGCACTATTCTTCTTACGACTTCAAATTGAATACTTGGAAATCATTTTAAGTTGTATTCCTTGGTACTAAGTATAAAGTAGTGGTCGTTCCACTGCGCGCCGTAGTCCCGCGCGGCTCCAAGTAGCGGCGGAGTGACGGTCCGTGTGTGGCAGCACAAGGTGCTGAAGCGCGGCAGTCCGCTGAAGTGTGGCGCCGAGCACGACGCCGAGCACGACGCCGAGCACGACGCCGACGGCGGCGCCGAGCGCGCCGGGGACTGCGTCAAGATACAGATGGAGGCCGCGCGGGAACAACATCGCCGCCGACTCGCCAAGAAAGGTAACAAATGCTTACTACGCACGACATTTGTATCTATTCTACTTATTCTAGACCTGGACCTTTATTTCTTATATCAATTTGTCCTTATTAATTTCACTGGACATTATATGCTACGCCAGAAAGTTACCCAACAACTGTATTGTAGCATGGATTCTACACCAATCTAAGCTACCTAGTTCTTAGCACTTTTTTTGATCAAATATGATAACTTATGATCTCAGAATGATCTAACTTGTTATTTTTTTTATTTTCTTAAAGTCAGAATTTTAATTCGATTCCAGATTTGACATTAGCTACTGTCATTTTGTGAAATAATGATACCACATATAATAGTGTAGTGATGAACACAAAAATCGATAAACAATCAGTGTGTGTGCCATCAGTGTGCCAATTAAAGACTAAAAAATTTATTGATTTTTATTTAAATAAAACATAACTATTCAGAATAATTCTTTATTAATGAGTAATCGATGCTCTATTTTATAAAATGGTCCGAAAGGTCTACACATGCGTATCCCACGTTGTCAAAGAAGAGGAAAAAATGAGTAGGCTCGATATGTTAATTGAAAATATCATAGACACATTTATAATAAATGTTACAGAAAATGACAGCGATAGCGATGACGGCGACAATTTATAAAATAAATTATTACCACAATACATCTATCTGTTTTGTTTGTCATGTTCCTTCATGATCACATTTTTTTATTAATTTCACACACAATTATAAAAGAAAAGTCTGAGATCGATAATTAATGGTCAAAACTAAATGATCGGTTCAGAAATATTTAATTTCCTGATATACTTAGTTTACGCGAGTAAAATTATAAACGAGAAGAATCGATCCGGAAATATTCCATTTCCATATCGAATAATTTCGCAACGTCACTATTTACTACTAGTCATAACGTTGCAACACTGAAATTGTCAAATCTGGAATCGAATTAAAATTCCGAGTATAGATATTTGACTCTAGTTCTACTGGTCAACATACAAGCGGTCACCGGAGACCATTCGCCACTTACACATTATAGACCTTATTTCGAGACTGAACAAACGTTATGGATTTTTTATAATCGGATATTAAGAAGTTTTTTTTTCTTTTACGACTATAATTATAGAGTATGTTTTGTGCAGCGTTCCCCCGCATGGACGCGGAAGGCAAGACGACGCTGTGTCTGGTCACCAACACCGTGGAGGGCTCCGGGGACGACAAGCCGCTCACTCTCGGCAGATATATCGGCAAGCTCACACAGGGGACTGGCACCTTGCATAGTAAGTATTGAGTGACGCTAGAAACCTAGAAACTTTTTCTGCCTTATTGTCTTAAGAAAGGCACTTAAACAGAGTACAAAACTGAAATATTTTTTATCGTCTATCAAACAATTTTTTCCCAGCGCCTCGCGAAGACCGCCGCAACGTGGCTAAAGGTGTGAAACCTTTGAACTACGGCCCCTTCAGCTCGTATGCTCCTTCGTACGACGGCACCTTCGCCACGCTCACCAAAGAGGAGTCACATATGCTGTATCACACACTGCGTGAGTATACCTCGTTTATTATATAAAATACTAGCAGCCCGTCCCGGCTTCGCGAGGGATAGACAATTATTTACTTTTGGAAATTTGGATTGTTGTAGTGACATAACTACATATAAATAGTTGGACATATTGTACCGCTGAGATTTTTGTAGACATTATGATGTTCTTCAATATTGTTGTACATTATTTTGTTCAATCGCTAATAGTTTCGGCAGCGCTTTTGACGAAAGACTAAGACAATTTTTTCTACACCTTCGGTTACATTGTACAAATTTTACCAAGGATCCCTAATTTTTTCAAAATGAAATGTAGCCTATGTCAAATTGGAAGAATGTAGCATTCTATTGGTGAAAGAATTTTTTAAATCGGTCCAGTACTTTTTGAGCCTATTTATTACAAACACAAAAATAGGTACAAATCTTTCCTCTTTATAATATTAGTATAGATTACTATTTATCATCATCATCAGATTAATTATTTTAATGTTTATTCAATATGACCACAACTTGCTTTGATTTTGCAAGACATGTTTGGTTCATGCATGCTGCATGATGTTTTTATATGAAACTTATTCTAATACTATACCTATTTTAGTTAGTAATGTTTTCTTCTATCTGCTATAAACAAATTAGTTATTTTGTTATTGTGCAGCGTACGAGACTGGTCAGAGCACTGAGGAGCCGCTACGTTTCGCCCCGGACTCCCCGTGGGCTCTCATATACGACATGGAGACACTCTTCCCGGATAAGAAGCAGCAGGAACAAACACCACCACCTGAAAATGTAATTATTTTACTATCAAATGTTATTAACTATATACCTTTTAATTTTCTAATATCTAAAGGGTATACCCTCGTTATACACTGGTATACCCAGACATGCACACTATACAAATGGACTAAACTAAATAATCTACTGCCATTTTGCTACTGTTACTGCTATTATTGAAGATTTTGAAAACACTTCGTCCAAAGTAGAATTCGGTTTGAGGCCAGATTACAAGTACTATGAATGGTCTCCTTAATAGAAGTTAATGCCATATTTTTCCAGGACCTATCAAAGGTGAAAGTGGACGTAGACCAGTTGCGCACGCTGTCGGAGCTGGGCATCGACGTGGAGTACCTGCACGACATCGAGGACGACGTGGTCGCCTCCCAGCACGACTACGGCATCGGCGGGGCCCTGCGGCACACCACCGACCTACTCGCCAAACTGGAGAAGGAGCAGAGGGACAGGTACACTCTATTGAGACACTACAATAATATAAAATACTTTATTAATTAGTTTTCCATCTGCTTGGCCGGGAATGAGTCGGAATGAAAAGATGTTGTGATTTTTTTGAATCCGTCTAGTCTTGATTCTTTATAGTATACTGATAATCTTATTGCAAGTGAAATGGATTATCAAGTAGGAGAAAAAGACCAAGGAAATCAAGTTTCGTTCAGTAATACAGAAGCAGACTACCTACGATGTTGCCCGGCCATAAGTAACCTCTTCACTCAGGCCTTCAATACACTTAAGTTAGGGAGAAGTGCCAGAAATATAATTGAATCGTATTGTTTGTCCCGCAGGCTGTCGGCGACGTCCCCGTGGCACCTGTCGCTGGCGGCGCGGCCGGGCGCGGCGGAGCGCGAGCTGGCGCGGCTGGTGGCGGCGTGCCTGCGCGCCATGGTGGCGCGCGTGCCGCCGCGACACGTCGCGCCCGTGCCCGCGCTCCGCGCCGCCATGGGCGTCACGCTCGACCATCTCGGTAACATCGTACAGCGGGGCTGTATTACAACATTTCAGAAATGTCTTTCTTATACATATAAGCGTTACACTACAAGGTTGGCGCAGTGGCTTTTTTATGGAATAGAAGGCAAACGAGGAGACAAACCTGATGGTAAGCGATCGCCCATGGACACTTACAACACCAGAACTGGCTGCAGTATAACGTGTAGGTTCGATTACCGTACTGAACAACTGTGCGATCCACAAATTATTTTTCTGGGTCTGGGTGTCGTGTGTATGTAAAATTGTGTGTTTGTAAACGCACCCACGATACAGGAGAAAAACTAGTGTGGGGCAACGTCTAAAAGAAAAACGACAATGTGATATTAAAAGTATGCCATTCAGCAACATTCTTAAGTCCTCATAGATTGAATTATTCAATAACACATTAACTTCTTTATGTTGTACAGTTATAATAGACTAAACAATAACTTTTATTCACCTTCCAGACACTCCCATGGCCGTGGATGACTTTGAATTGGAAATGAATGAACATCGGGACGTAGCGTCAGATCCGGACTCGCGGTCGAGTCATGACAAATAACAAATAGTAAAAAGAATAGTATAAAAAATAGTTATTGATTAAGAGTTATACCTATATTAATAAAAAAATATTATGATATAATTTTGAGTTTTTATTCGGTAGTAAAACCCTTAAAAATGGTAGTAAAGACAATAATAATTATTATATTTTATGAAATCATGCATCCTCCTGCATCTTTCTTCTCATTTTTGAATAAGATAACGTGATTCCGACTTCGTTAACTAGAGGGCAGTAGTATAAAACTGTGATTAGTTATCAATCTCTAAGGTAGATGGCGTTACTTATTTAAATTTAGAATAGAGGGAAAAATCACGGATTCTTATTTCTATTTTCTTATAATAAGGATATTATGACCACACATTTGAAGGCTTTGATTAAATTGCTTGGTAATTAAGTACAACATAGGGAAAACATTAAAGCAGAAATTATGATGAATAAATGTTTTGAAACTTTTTCTACTTAGGTACTATTTTTGTTGTACATTCCCATTTTTTATTATGAAATATTTTCGCTTCATCTACCACACGAGACTACAGCGGTGAAGATAAATATTACTAACTAGTACAGCCATCTGGCACCAAAACACTCTAGTCTAGGAATCTCCCTATATAGGAAAATAAAACTATATGGGAAGCCACTACTCCTCAATATAACGTCCTTTGTCAAGTCATTAATCCAGGTCCACGGGAAGAAATTCCAATAGGAATATGTGGTACCTTGGTACTTTAATCCTTACTAGTCCTTACTAATATTATAAATTGGAAGGTGAGTTTGTTTGTTTGTTCCACTTTCACGCCGTAACTACAAAACCGATTGCTTTGAATTTTTGCAGACGTAAAGTTAGAAGTCTGGATTAAATAATAGGGTACTTTTTATCCCGGAAAAATGTGATATTCCCGAGGGAAAACAAAAGTATTGGCATAGATGGCGCTGTGTGTATTGGTTTGGTATAATATGTCACATAGGCTAATTTTTATCCTTTTGTGACGCGAGCGAAGCCGCGGGTAAAAGCTAGTTTTATATATGTGTTGTCCTTTATGTTGTATGTGTACTAGTCAGTAATATAAATAAATAAATAATTTTTCATCAGTCCCCAAAATATTTAAAAAATATCAATTCATAAAATACAACCTGGAAAAAAAGGCAATCTCAACAAAAACCTATTAAACGATCTATCGTTTACCCTTCCCCCAACCACAGCCAACTGAGTAGTATCGGATGGTCTGCGCCGGCGCAGTGTCATACATGACGTCACTTCCGTACACTTCCGACATCGGCGCGTGCGACCCGCGGCGCGCGCTCGCTCACACGTTGCGCACGCGACTCTCACTTGACGCGAGATATGATTGGAGGGGACCGATAATAGCTAACATTATAGTTTGCGGGTCTGGATCAATCGAGCGGAAAAATGTTTTAGTAGATACATGAAATTACTAGGTAGTAAGTACGTCAAAATAGTATAATAATCTAGGAACTTTTAGGTACTCTAATTTACTTCAATTAGATTAATTTAAAAATATATAATTATATATATTTTAACACCAAGAACGCCATGCAGACAACACAGCCACACAGGTATAGGACACAACAGCGGAAGATTTACCCTCCACAGTTTTCTGTCAGCTGTCAAACCCTTAATGAATTAAAAATGTAGAAAACAAAAGAATAACATTGATAAATCACTGTACAACACAACAAACTTTTGTACACACGGCCACACATCAATCTATACAAAACCAGTTTATCCTGGTGTCGCGTCGCATCATCTTTCCGCACATTTAACGTTCAGTTTATATTGGTTATGTAAAGCTCGATGTGTAGCCATCGTACAGTACATGGTACGAAACTTTACAAAGTATGAACTCACGTGATCCAGTAATCAATGAACTAAAATGACGAGTAAATATTACTCATAAACACGAACACGCGTCTTTCCCATCAATATTATCTAATCATAGTAATCTATATTTACAAAACTTGTAAAACTTCATCTCTATCTATCTATACATATAATAAAACTGTAGAAAAGTGCTGTCTGTACATTGAAAATAAAAATAAAAAAAAAGGGGGCTATTGTTATGTCGATGTCAAACCCAAAAATGTAACTACCTTTTTTTGTCTGTTTGTCTGTTTGTCTGCTCACGCTAATCTCAGAAACGGCTTATCCGAGTTGGATGCGGTTTTCACGAATATATTGTGGTATGCTTCAGTTATGCTTTAGTGTTTGTTTCATGTCAATCGGTTCATAAATAAAAAAGTTACGTCAAATTAAAGAATCACGTCGAACACTATCTATCTTCTATCTATACATATAATAAAATTGTAGAAAAGTGCTGTCTGGACATTGAAAATAAAAATAAAAAAAATATCAGGGGCTATTGTTATGTCGATGTCGAACCCAAAAATGTAACTAACTTTTTTTTTGTCTGTTTGTCTGTTCACGCTAATCTCAGAAATGGCTTATAAATATATATATATTTAACAGGGTGCGGAAAAGGTGATAGTGGTTTTATTCCTCAGATTCCTCTCATTCCAAAAATTTTTCCGTTTAATTTTAAACGAATTCAGTTTCCAGTGAGCCTATGTTTCGCCATGACAATTAATAAAGCTCAAGGTCAGACTCTAAAAGTTGTGGGTATAGATCTAAGTATCAGCTGTTTTTCGCACGGTCAATTGTATGTGGCTCTGTCCCGTGTTAGCAATCCCAGCAGCCTGTATGCTTTCACCCCCGATGGCCATACGTCTAATATTGTATATAGAGAAGCATTACAGTAAAATGACTGTGATTATGATCCAAATCTAAAATAAAAATAAGTATATATTTAAAAAAAAAACGCTGCCCATAGTCCCTATTCTACGCGAACGAAGTCGCGGGCACAGCTAGTAGTTAATAAAAGTCTGTTTGTTAATTTGATTGAACACTACAATCTGAGGAACAACAATACTGAATAATCCATTTATCAAGGCTTTAACTATATTCCATAATACATCACGGTACAACTGATTGGAGCCGAGCAGCGAGTGAAACAGCGTGAGTACATATGTATATCAAAGATCTATAAATAAAGACATGATAATCAAAGTTACATTACTTATAGGCAAGTCCCTAAGTCCCTTAAGGATACGCCTAACACTAACTAACTACACAGATGAATACCAAGCGCTCATGATGACTGAAGAAGTTAAATTGAGTCCCACGTTGGGTGCCACAAACCACCCCCAATACACAGTCACACGGGAACGTACCCTTGTACAAAGATACATTTACACGACAAACAAGGTGACTTCAACCCTAACTTTATAGTAATAACGGTTGCATAGTGTTTGTGAATAAGTTTGTTGTAATAATATACAATGGTAAATAAGTGGTTTTTACATTAAATAGTGTTTGTTTTGTATATTTTTATGTTATTGACAGTGTGTAATTGTGTTAGGGTTGATTGATGACGTCACAATGATATGCTAGTGTTAGAACAATTGTTAAACCGTTGGTGGTAATGCGTGATGATAATTAAATTACCTTAGTATTTATTTATTAAAAAAAAAAATAATAACTTCGTTTCGTTAGAACTTAACCGTTACTATAATGAGCCTAAAATATAATTTAAAAAAGCATAAACATAACATCACGCCTTTTACCCCCGAAGGGGTAGGCAGAGGTGTACATTATGCCACCGTACAATATAACACCCAGTTTTCACTATTTATGTTATAAGTCCCATGTATGGGGGTGAGCCTATTGCCATATACCGGGCACAATTCCAGACTCCGTGCTACTACTGAGAATTTTTTGAAAAACCCGGTAATAGTTTAAGAAAGCTTGGCGTTTAAAGAGGTAGGACATACTAAATTAATTATTATGTTTTCGGCTTACTGACGTAACTATATGACGAGGAACTCGACTAGTTTAGAGTTAGACTAGCGGAATGCTGCTCATGAACGTGAGTCTCTAGCATGGCTTGAAACTAGTCGAGATCCTCCTAAGCCTTCCTAAGCCGAAAACATAATAATGAATTAGGCTTGACGTTAGCTTAATTACATAAAATTAGGACAACAATTCTTACATCGCATAATTTTTATCCATTAGTACCTATATACCTATGTCTATCTCACGACACAGTATGGAACATGAACCCCCTACGTAGTAATACAATTTCCATAATATCAGATATCATGAAAGACGAACCTAAACAAACAAACACACACTGCTACAGTTACCGTCTGTCGTAAAAGAAATGAAACGGTTAATGGGTAAATATTATTTTTCCTATCTTTTTATCTTTCGTACAAATTACTTTGCTATGGTATTTTTACCTTGAACGCACGACAAAGCGTACCTGTCTACTTCTTTCTGGATTTTCTTTTCACATAGGCAATGGTGCACATTACGGTACTTAATGCCACTGTACAATGTAACACCCACTTTTCACTACTTATGTCATGAGTCCCATGTAATAGGGGGTGAGTCTATTGCCATTTACCGGGCATGATTTCAGACTCCGTGCTACCACTGAGATTTTTGAAAAATCCCAGTAATCCTTTGCCTTACCCGGGAATCAAACCCGAGACCTCTTGCCCGGCAGTCGCACTTGCGACCACTCGGCCAACGAGGCAGCTACTACTGAAGTTTTTTAAAAACCCGGTAATACTTAAATTGTTTTCCGAATCGTAGCTTTTAACTTTTAGCCCGCGACTTCATCCGTGTGGAATTCTGATTCACCGCTCCTCCCCTGAAGGCGGTAGCGTGATAATATGTTGACCCGACCTGTTAGTAATATTCGTGCAAACTTTGAATGAAGTAGTTAAATCCGGACATACACACAGACCTAGGACCTAGGATTTTATTATACATACATATGTATAGAAGAATAGAGGTATCAAAAAAAGAATATGTATGTACCTAATTTGTGTAAATTAATTAAAACACGCTTTAACTCGTCGAGTACCGGTTTTGCAGACACAATTATAGAACAATAGGTTGCGGTCACCGGTGACCGCTTGGTGTTTGACAGTTTAACTTTAGTTTTAAATAAAGGTGTCTAAAAT